ATCATACCTGGTGCACTGTAGGTGTCACCTGAGGGCCGATCCGATGACCACAACGACCACCTCTGGGCCTGGGGCACTGTACCAGACCTGGTGTGCACCATGGTCACAAGGGCCTCATGGGCGGCTCTAATGCAGACGCACACTCTGTGGTTGCTTCTCTGCTGCTTGGTCCAGCTCAGTACCTTCCTGTTGCCCCTGTGTTTGGGGTGGCCTAGTGACCTGCAGGTGCAGTTTGATCTGGGAGAGGTGCTGGGTCTCAAGGCCACTGGCCCTCACATAGCAGCCCACAGGCAGAGCGTTAGTGAGCGTGGACCGGGGCTGCTTTTTGAGTGCCAGGGCTCTGCCGGGCCACATGGTGTGACCCAGAAGCACGCATGTGTGCAGCTTGGCAAAGCAGGCAGTATCTGGGCTCACGGGGGATCGGTCGTTACTCCATTAGCTGTTCCCATGTGCTGGTGTGACCCCATCTGCAGTCGGAATGTCCAGGATTCAGCTGGGACGTGCTGGTTCTGTGGCTGTGAGGAGGGACAGCTTGCTGGCAGCCTTTCCCCTAGAACCTGGGGCTCGTCGTCTGTCCCATGTGCAGCTCTCTCCCTCGAGCAGCCTGGGGTGGTGTGAGGGCCCAGGCACCTGTGGGCTGGTGGTCCGCAGAGTTCAAGGCCTGCCCCTCACTTGCCCGTTGGCATTTCGTGGGAGGTGTGGGTGGGGATCAGGAGCTCTCTGGGTGGAGGGCATAGGCACTCATGCCTATGCTTGCACAGTGGGCCTTGGCAGGGGTTGGTTTTGCTTTGGGTCCAGAACTGGGCTGGGCCTCTGGGGGCTGGGCAGTCTGCAGATCTGAGCAGTTCAGAGATTGTGTGCTGCTGTCAGGGCCCCCAGGGACTGTGTTCACTGTGCTGTTATCTCACGACTGGTGGGGCCTCTTCCTCCATGCTCCCAAGCTCATCGCCTTCCCCAGCCCCCAGCGTGTGCGCGCGCACACACACGTGCACATGAACATATGCTTTTCCACCTTCAGTCTTTCTCATCTCAGAGCCTTGCCCTGTGATCGTTCCAGTTGCCCGGTCCTGGTCTCGCCCCTGCCTCTTCCCTTCTCCCTCCTCCCCAGATCTTGGGCCCCACCCTGTGGATCCCACCCTGTGGATCCCACCCCGTGGATCCCACCCCTGAATAGGCCCTCCACACCCTCCCACGGCCACCCCCATGGTGGCTCTCAGCTCTCGGTCTCACGCCTGGACAAGCCCCACAGCCTCCCTCTAGGCCGTGCATCTGCACTATGGCCTGGGGGGTCTCCGGAGGTGCACCTGCCTGACTCCCGCCTGCTATTAGGACACAGACACAGTGTGTTTGGGCAGCAGAAGGCAGTGAGGACAAGAGCCGGGACATGGGGCACAGCTCAGGAGGATGATGGCCTCGAGGCCTCTCTGAACAGAGAATGATGGTGTGGGGCAAAGCGGGAGGGTCTGTGAGAAGGAAGGGCCTCAGGTGCAAAGGTCCAGGGACGGCTGCTCAGGGACAGCGGGAGACCACTGTGTGTGTGCGGAACAGGCCAGGGGCAGACTTACGTGAGAGTGGGACCTGGGTCAGGCGGGCTGAGGGCATGGCCTGGGCCTCTAGGGGACGGAGGGGCCCTCTGCGCAGGACATCACACTGGCCTACTTCTCCTGTACTGCAGGTCCTAGGATGGGTTAGGCCTCACCTGGATCCAGAACACACCCTGTCATCGGTCCATGTGTGGCCTTCTATTAGGGTCTTGAATTTTGTTTGTTTAAGGAACATATGGGAGCTTGCCCCCAGCTCAGGGGCTCTTGGGGTCGCAGGAGCTGACGGTCCCTGTGGCTGGTGTCCCACTTGCCATGTGCCCTGTCCAGCTCCTGCCCCACCCCTCCCCACTACAGGTAGCACTGCACTGAATTCTGTGTGTGTTATTGCCTTGCTTTAAAAAAGATAGTTTAATTGCATATATGTGAATGCCTAAATACTACATTGTTTAGATTTTGAACTTCACAGAAAGAGCAACACTCTTGTCTGAGATTCATGCTCTCTACCTTGTCATGTGCAGGTGTTGCACGTGGCTGTGGCCTGTGGCAGAGTGTCCGTTACACAAGCACATTCAGCTTCTTACTTGTTCTCTTGCTGATGGGCATCTTGTGTGTTTCAGGTTTTTTCTCTCGCGGAGCAGGTGAGGAGAGCTTGGTGCGGACCTGCTGTGGGCACGTTTAACAGTTTCTCTGAATGCATACCTCAGGGTGGGATCACTGAGTTACAGGACATACAAGTGCTAAACACTAAGGAAATGGCAAGTTATTTTATAAAGTAATTTACTATTGATAGTTTTCATTCCCACCGTCAATGTATATAAGATCCAATTGATTCATATACTTTCTAGCTCTTAGTATTCCTAAGATACTTAATTTTCGCTAATCAAATGGATGCAAAGTGGTATTGTTGGTCTTGATTTGCATTTTCCTAATTAATAACAATGTTGATTACCTTGTCATATGTTTCCTGGCCATATGTGTTTCCTTTTCTGGGAAATGTCTGTTTGCATCTTGTGCCCATGTTTCTGTCGTGCTGTTTTCGTGGCGCTGATCGGGTAGGGAGGGTGTGGTATCTGTCACAGTGCGGGAGCGTCACTGGGGACAGGGAGAGAGGATCGTGTGCCTGGAGAGCAGCAGGGGCTCCGGCAGTGCTGCTCTCGCCAGTTTGAGTGTGGTGGAAAGAGAGAGCCCTGGGCCCAAATCCTGTCCCTGTCACTGACCGCTGGGTGGGATTGGGGTGTGGCTTCATTTCCGAGCCTTGGTTTCTTCCTTCCCGAAGGAAGACCAGTAAGAAAACCCACCTCCCAGGATTGGGCAGGTGGGCCAGCGAGCACGTCAGCGGTAAGGTGGCCTGGCGCCATGCAGGGATCTTTCTACAGGCAACTGGTCTGCCCTTGGTGCCTCTGACTGCAGGGGATCTGAGAGGAGGTGGTCTGGGCTGGTGCTGCCTCCTGAAAGCGTCCCCTCCCTTCTTGCCACCCGCCCACGGCAGGAGGCTGTGCTGCTCCAGGCCAGGCTGCTCCCAGCTCTGCTCGGTTGATCTTGTCCTCTCGGTTTAAATATTTGTGTGCCATTAGCTCGCGGGTCTTGGAGAATTTACAGAGCACATCACTTCCTGCCTGTGAGGGGCCAGCTGGCAGGGCCTGGTGAGGTCGCCGTGGCCTCATCTCTCCCAGCCCTCCTGGTGGCTGCGCCAAACCCCTGACACTTGGGCAGTGGTGGGGCCGAAGTGGTCGACTTTGAGGAATGTCCTCACTCGTCCACAAGAACATCAGCCTTGGCACTGGCTTCTTGACGGGTGGGTTTTGTATTTTGTTGTTGTTTGGCTTGGTTTTGGAAATCTTGTTCCAGGAGGCTGCATTGTCACGGTAATGATTTTTCCCAGGGTTGCCAGCTCCTCCCTTCTGTTGTAGCCTCAGTCCTATGAGCATCAGCTCACACAGGGCCACAGAGGGACATGCGCTTTCCCCACACCTTGGCCTAGTACACGGGGACCTGTGCCCAGGAAATGAACACCTGGTGTCTGGGGTTTGGCTGGGCTTTAGAAAGATGTGGTTGTGCAGAGTGCCCTTCCTCTGCAGCCCCTGGGGCCGCAGCATTCGAGTTTCTCCTTCCTGCAGGCCTTCAGGAGCTGATGTGGGGGTCCTTGTGGAGGGTCCCTGGAAGAGGTGACCATATGCACGTGTCTGTTGCTGCTGATGGTCTGTCACCCTGCCCAGGGGATGGTGCAAGAAGGCAATGGAACATTTACAGGGCTGAGTTTGAGTCCAGCCTTCCCTGGGCAGGGCTGGTCCCCTCTGGGAGATGGGTACCCATGCTCAGGGCCATGTGGCCGCTCAGACCCCGTGGGAGTGAGATGGAGAGTGCTTCTGCATCTTGGCTGGTAGAGGCACCTGCCACAGTTTCCCAGCAGTGGCCATGCAGCTTATTGGGTAGGTTTACTTTGCATTATTTTCTGGGAAAAGTGCATTATCTATTCTCATTTTTCGAGCCTGTGACTCTGGAGGCCAACCTCATTCCTGAGCTTCAAGGCCAAGACCTCTCTAGGAGAGGCTGGTGGGCAGAGAACAGTGTGCCTGATTGACACCCATGTTCCTGCTCTGGGTTCTGCTCAGTGCTTGTTCCCCGTGGCTTTCACGCCAGTCAGACTGGCCCAGGCCTGAGCCCGGCCTCCTTGTTAGCTCCTGCACGTGGTCCTGGGATCATACGCCCTGTAACTGGGACTGCTCCAGCAAAGGCCAGGGCAGCCTATCAAGGTTGTGGGTGTTAGGATGCTGTCCTCAGCGGGGAGCCAAGCTCTGTGGCCCAGACTAGGTATTCGGTGAGGCCCCCCTGGTCAGAAAAGGCTGCCAGGTTCTCAGAGCCCAGCATGGCCTTGTTGGCTCAGACAGTCCAGGCTGCCCTTGAGTCTGAACTGTTAGCAAGGGGTAGGCCAGGCATTCTTGGGGGCAGTGTGGGGCAGGGGGCTCCCTCTACTTTGGGGTCCTGTATGGGGTGGGCCATGGGTAGGCAGCTTCAGAGACTTTCTGAGACGTGCCCTCTGTCAGGAAGGTGGCCTTAATCAGTTCTTCCAGAGCATGAGCCTACAGGAGGAGGTGAGCTGTTCCCCCTCTCCCTTGGGTCCTAGAGCCTGTCCTGGACACCTCCCTTGTCCTCCACGGAGTCCCGTGGTCCCTCTCAGGACACATCATGTCCACCAGCAACTAGTAGTCAGTTTCCAGAGGCAGGTCTTAGGGGTAGATTTTGCATTTTGTTGTGCCACCTGCTGCTTGCCTAGTTACCTGGGCAGCAGCTCTGGCCCTGCCTATCATGCCACCTGCCTGCTGCCCAGCCCCTGGGACCTCATTTGCTCAACAGGGAGCAGAGGTCACGGGGTGATGGGAGGTACATCCACTACAGGCCAGAGCAGAGGCCTGGGCGGCCTACAGTGTCTGACCCACTTTCTGTCTCCTCTTACAGGCTCAGCTGTCACAGGCCCTGGAGGAGCTGGGAGGCCAGAAACAAAGAGCGGACATGGTAAGTCCTGAGACGGCACTTGTTTACTGCCTCTGTGGCAGAAGGAAGTCCTGGTTTAAGACACCTTGGATCCTGGGTCCCCAGCAGGAACTTGTCCTGTCCTGTCCCCATCAGGACTTATCCTGCAGGCATAAGGGTGTGGGTCCCTTCTCTCCCAGTGACAGAGTGTGCATGATCTCGACAGAGCCTCCCCTGCCTGGAACTGTGTGCCGTACAAGGCCATGCTGTTGAGACAAAGCAGATGTGAACACCATGTGGGCCGCAAGGAGCCCGGGGCTGCCAAAGCGGATGTCAGTGCCATGGCATCCCTGGCCCCCGCCCAGTCCACACAGGGCCTGTCACCAGCAGGGACAGCTGCCTCAGCCTGGACTCGGGCTTCACTCTGTGTGCGCCCAAAGATGTAGGGTCTTCATTAGTGTGTGTTTATTTGCCATGTGCAGTTTTATTTCTCTGCTGATTATGCAGATGTGCTTTTAAGGTGTGTTTTCTCCCCAGATCGCGTCAGCCCTGTGCTCACTTAGTTTGGCTGTGGCTGAGCTTGTGTGGCACAAGCTCACTGGTGACCTCGGCCGGGGCTCTCCTTGGGTTTCTCTATCTCCAGTATTAAAAGGCTTTCTGACCATTTCAGGAAACAAATGGGCTTTGCTTTTGAAGCATTTTGGCCTAAACCAGATAAAAGCCCACACCATGCTTCCCTGGCCTTGGCCTTGTCTGGGAAGGACACAGGGAAGCTTCAGGCCACATGTGCTACCAGGGGGGCGCCATCGGCATTGGGGTGGACTCAGGACTGGCATCTCGGGTTGAGGCTCCTATTCCACGTCCTTCCTTGCCAGTCTGAGCCCTGGGCAGGCATCCTGGCTCTCTGACTCAGAGCCTTCACCTTGCACTTCGCAGGGGCATAGTGAGGGTCAGTTGAAATGAACTTGCTTTTTAAGTTGTGGAGACAGCCTCACAGCCTGCTGTGGTTGCAGCTGTGGTCATTATTGTTGGTCCTTCCTATGGGGCAGGGTTGGGAGGGTCAGAAACCCATTGGAGCCAGGGCACTGGGGCGAGGATAGGGGTGAGGCCGGGCCCAGCACTAGAGCCGGGTCGGTTGTGCTCAGGGCCCTGACGGTGTGTCTGTGGCCGCACAGCTGGGGGGCCAGGCCCTGGGACTGGAAGGGGCCAGCGTGCCCTGGGACAGTGGGGTTGGGGACACGGAAGCGAGTGCCAGCAGGCCGTCAGGGCTCAAGCTAGGCAGGCCTGTGGCTGTGGTGAGGACATGATTTCACGGGGCTGGAGGTGGTGGGGGTGAGACTTAGTTCCCATCTTTATGGGGGTGCCTGGCCGCTGCAGAGAGGCTGTGGCTGGGGGTGCAGGTATCCACCACACACCACAGTGGTGTGGTCAGTTTGGCTGCACTGCAGGCAGATGCAATGAGATGGTACATGAGGGCCGGGAATCCAGGATCACTGCGTTGTTCTGGTCTAGGTGGGGTCATGGTATGGGGTGGGGGCTAGAGGGAAAGCCTGGGAGCCTGGGGTACCTGCTGCTGGGCAGACGCACCGGCCTGGGGTCCTCGAGATGAGGCCTGCACATTTCCGTCCTCAGGAGTGAGAAGTTAGCAGAGAAGGCAGCACCTGAGGCTTGAGCCTCTGGGCCCAACTCCAGCATCCCCCATCGGATTTGGGGGAGCAGCATGAGTCAGGATATCCCAGGGAGGGCAGGTCATTCACAGAGCCCTGGAGCAGGAAGTGTTTGAGTGGAGAGCGACCAACTCTGTCAGACCCTGCCACGAGGACCTGAGAGAGAAGCAGAGGGTTGGGGCCGGGTGATTGACGATCTCCGTGGGAACTGTTTCCAGGGAGGCCGGGAGCTGTGAGCACTGACAGCACTTGTGAGGGGTTTGCTTGAAGGGCCTAGGGGCGGCTGGAGCTGGATGGAGAGAGATTTATTCCACCTGACGGCTGTGGGAGCCCAGTGGGGAGGGGTGTGTCACAAGGCGGAGGCGTCCAGGAGCAGGAGGGAGGCGCACGCACCGCAGGCACTAGTGCTGGTTCTTACCTCTCCTGGTCTGAAGCAGTGTCAGGCAGGCCAGGAAGGGGTCTGTTGGGAGGGGCTGGCTGGTCCGGAGCCCTTGGGCCCATCTGAGATGTACAGGGTGAGCTGGGAGCATGGCTGGTCAGTCATTTGTCTGCCGTGCTCAAGTGACCATTGGTTCATGGGCTTAACCCGGGCTAGGTGTGCAGGTGAGAAGTGCGCAGGAGAGGTGATGAGGTGATGCCCTTCCAGACAGAGGGAAAGCAGCTCTCAGGCAGTGTCGCAGTGCAGTCTTTATCGTGTGTGCTGCTTAAATTTGAGTGTGAGCCACGCTTATCTTTAGACTGTAGAAATACCAGTGAGTGGCGGTTTTGTTTTTTCCTGTGTTTTCTGCAGTGAGCATTCACTGCTAAAGCAATTTGAAGGGGAACCCATCATAACTGTGTTGGCTAAGTCCCACGACCTTCAGCGAGGGTGGTTCAGAATGCTACCTGGCAGGAGAGCTGAGTAGACTGTGGAGTCTGGCGCACCAGCAGCAGCGCATGGCAGGTGAGGGAGAGCTTTGCACACTGTGGAGTCTGGTGACTGAGCACGTGGGTGGTTAACGGGGGGATGCTGCAGCTTTCCCAGCTCTGTGGGTGTTTCGTGGCGGTGGGACCAACCAGCGTGGTCTTCCTGGCTTTCCAAACCCGTGGACTGTCAGTGCTTCCTTCTTGTTCACTGAGTGTCCAGGCTCTTTAAATAAGGGTGTTTTCCTGTTGGCTTTGAGAAGCCGGGGCCGAGTTGGGGAAGCCCTAGGAGCCATGCTGTCCTGTGTGTAGACATGCCGGGCTTCCAGTTGACCTGAACTGAAACGTTCCTGGGGCCACGTTTCCCACTGTGCATGAGGCCAGGAGACATTAGAGATGGAGTTGTGCCCAGCACACACCAAGCCTGGGCATCAAGGCTGAGCCTGTGGCTATCCTTGCATCTGGACCCCCTTTTCCACAGAAGCCTGGCAACCTCGGAACTGACACCTTAGACCTTGACGTTGGCCCTTCTCTCAGCGCCAGGGTGGTTTTGGGGAACCTGCTAACCTAGGTCCTTCCTCAGGGTAGGGAGGACAGGAGCTGGCCTTGGGCGCCTAGGCGGGGTGGGCACAATGCAGCACGGGCCTCCCAGGGACTCACAAGGAGGTCATGACCATACTTCTCCCTGGGGGCCCTCTGACGTCAACAGGGCTGGCACCTCAGTTCAGAGGCCCCCAGCCCCTGCACCAGGGAACCTTGGGGCCAGTGGTCAGCGGGGAGCTGCTGGTGGATGTACCCTCCCTGGGGTCACTCCTGTAGTCCCGCATGATGGGCCGGGCCCGGGGCTCCATCTGAGTGGGTTCTTAGCATTGCCGACACTAGGCCTCTGTGTAGACAGACGGGCTTTGTGGCGCCTCCTGCTGGTTGTCTTCAGGCCTGGATCTTCCTCCTCAGACAAGTATGTAATCTCCGCTTGTAACTGTCTAGGCCTTAGCTTACTTCACATTGTTTGTTTCACTTCTCTCTCCTCTTTCCCAGTTAAAAGGAAACTAGGCAATGGCAGTGCTTGGGGATGCTCACAATGGCGTGAGCCTCAACCTTCCACCCATGCTCCTGGGCCGGGGTGTCTTCTGCTGCCCAAGGAAGCCCTTGCCTTGACCAAGGGGGATGGTTGTACGGGGTGTGGGAAGCCTGGGGCTCTGACACGAATTACCTATCTGGCCTTGGCCAGCCCCAGACCCCTCACCCAGTTGGGGGACCTCCTGACACCACTGCAGCTCGTCGAAGGAGGTTTGTCCAGAGCATGACAGAGCCCGAGGCTAGACGGGGCTGTCCAGCAGAGCATTCTGCCCGATGGGAATGTTCTCTGTCCGGCCCAGCCAGCACAGTAGCCACTAGTCACCAGTGTGATTGTGGCTAGGGCAACTGAAACACGAAAATCTTAATGGCTTGATTTTAATCACTTTTAGTAGCCACATGTGGCTGGGTAATCAGCTCCTGGAACATTCCATGTTCTTCCTCCTCCAGACCCCTGGCATGTTCTCTCCACCTTTCCTCGTCCACACTCAGGCCCGTTTGCTGCTGGCTCATTCAACTCCTTTTTCAGCTTTAAGCTTGTGTTCCTGGCCTCATCCTTTTGTCCTGAGTTGAAGTCCCCGTAGATTGGCTCCCGAGGATTGGAGGTGTCTCCTTGGCCCTGTGTCCCTCTAGCCTCACACGGTGCCCTTCAGGGGAGGGATCAGGTAGAGAGGTGCCTAGCGAGCATAGGGCCGTGGGAGCCCTATGGGGGCTGGCCTGGGCCTGGCTGCCCGCCTCCCTCGGCTATGCGGGGTGGGCTACAGGTCTCCCTCCTCTGTGTAAATCAAGAGCCCCTCAGTGTCTCCGGTGTTCTCTCCCAGGGTTACCAGTAAAACACAAGTGATTGTGCGTGGGGGAAGTTCCTGCTGCTGACGTACACCACTGACCCGACTAGCTGTTCATTTTATGGTGGAGGGACCAGAGATTGAGGACAAGTGAGCCACCAGGGATCACTGTGAGATGGGAGGGCTGGAGCTGGCCTTGGGTCTGGCTCTAAGGCCTTTGCCATCCCATTCCCAGTGACAGCCTTGGCGGTGGGTGTTGTCTGGGAGAGAGGCACCCTAGCCCCTGGGATAGTTAGAGCAACCCACGTCCAGGGCGTTGCCAACTGCGTCCCTCACACTCTCTGTCCATGGCAGGCGGGGACGCAGCCTGGTGCAGCTCCTTTACCCAGTCTTCTGACCCAAAGTCAGTTTGCTATTTAGGAGAGAAAAAAGAAAAATTTATACATCTTTAGCTAATTGCAGATGACAAGACAAAGGCAGTTTGACTTTCTGTTATTAATTAGGAAACCCATACTAATTAGTAAGCATAAGTACAATTCATGCTTTTTTCTTTAAATGCAATTACTATCACAAGGAAAGATGTCCTGGGCCATAGTTGTATCATTAATAT